TTTACAAAAGAAATAAAAGCTGTTTTCATTTCAATTACAAGATACAATTCTAATTCCAGGTGAAGTTTATACAGATATATATGTTAATCTTTCAAATGAATGTCGAAACACCGCTGACAAAACAAGCCAAGAAACACATTTTCATTGCCCACAGCCTGGTTATACCACAACTCCCCAAATCCGTAACTAAATAGCATTTCTTTTTATAATTTAACCCAGCATTTTTTGTTTTAGTCAGCTAATGTGCATTGAAAATTGTACCATTTCAGCCAATATTTCACCATTCTAACTAAACAAAGAGAATACACGATGGGACGACCAAGTTCCCGTCTTACTGTAGCATGGATTAATGGTGTATTAGGCATGTTAAGCAAATTTTACAAATGATTTTACTTGTAAATACATAGTTAAAAGTGGAATACATTTGACCTCAAATACCTGCTTTATCAAGTTAGAAATAAAGTTACCTTATTGACCCTGCCAAATGCTTTTTCGAAGTTGATACAAGCACAATAAAAACGTCCCTGTTTGGTTGTAAGGTATTTTTGTATCAGTGTGTGAATAATAAATACGTTATATATATGTTACTATACCCTGCCTTGAAACCCTGCTTGTTCTTCTCCAGTAAATTCAGTAATTTCATTCCATATAGCCTATTGTATAAATTTCTATTGAAAATTTTACTTAATATTGGTAGTAATGTGATACCCCTATAATTACAAGCCTTATTCCTAGAACCATTCTTATGTATCAGGAATATAATATCCTCACACCATTGCTTAGGAAAAATCGAAAATATTGTTACATAAATCTATAAATTGTTACTGTCACCGCCATGTTATTCTGAACAGCAATATTGCCAGCTTAGTTGCTGTCTGGTTTGCAATGCACTTGTTTGTATTAGAACTGGTTAGCTAAAACATTTTTACAAGGATACACCTTTCAATGTGTGCATATTTACAAGTGCTATGACACGCACCAGAAACATGAGCGATGATTTCTTGACATTTCAGACTTTGTCAGTACATACATTTTGTTAAATAACTTTGCCATGTATTATATACAAATTTATATGATTGAGTGAAATGAAGATATTTATATTCAATTTGTCACCCACTATTAGTTTAATGTCTACTGTTAAGGTTGTTTGACCCAAAATGTTCTAATCGCTCAACGATTGCAGGCGTGCGCAGCAATCCAGTCAGCAACTTAGCTGACAATGTTGCTTTTTTGTTGTTGTGGCAATGACAGTAAAGAATATCCTGAAAGTGTTAAAGGCCCAATTCACTTGCCCTGGGCAAGTGTGAATTGGAGGTGTGGCTATTCTAATGCATGGTATTAATCACTTGCATAGCCTATGACGCATCCTGTTTCAGCGGTCCAACATCACGCGACTTTGATTGTCAGTAGTAATTATTCAAGATTAGTCGCGCATCCCTTTCCCCGGTTCATGTTTTTTTACTTTTATCTGCCAAAATCTCAGCTCGTACACTATTTATTGTCATAAATACTACACACAGTCACTGCTGTGATATTCATAGTCACATGCATCCATTTTGGCACGACATAATAGACATGTAAGTTCGAGAAAACCCGTTTTCACTGGAGCTTGGCTGGAGCTGTTTACTACAGCGTAACAAGCAAGGAAATAATCCCTATTGTTTAGGAGCGTATTTATAGTATACCTGGGCCTTTAATGGCATTCGAAAACAGTATGATCAATTGCAGCAACTGTAAATTTGATGTCGCTAAGTGTAGTGACGTTTTGTAATGATCTGGACATTAGCCAATCAGTAATAAGTTTTTTCACACAGAGGGCTGCTGTTTTTTTCTCTACATTTCTCTTTGTTAAATCAGACTATTTCTGATGTTTGAAATGCGATTAAAGAGTTTTAACTATCACATCTAACATTATGGAAGGTTACAAATTATGACAATAGTGGTTAATGAACATACATTTAAATTGGTAATCCTTTTATGATATGTTCAAACCAAATGAAAAAGATCATTTACTTCTATTTCAATGGAAAATTCATCTAAAAATCTGATTGCTTGATGCAGGTTACCTGAGATGGGCCTAATTTTGAATAAATTATAAATAAATTACAGACCCAGACAGGCAAGTTGGCTTTTGTGAAGGTCACAGCACTATTGATAATTTATTTGTGCATCATGTCGCTTTTGGAAAGTCTCCTGGTGTGAAGGGAATGATTTTACATTCTTTTTGTAGGTTTTTCCAAAGCTTTTTAACAGGATTAACCATTCCCACTATATATAGAAACAGGTTCTTTATCATGAGAAGTAAATAGTATATCCAATCCTTCATTTAATTTACAATGATGTTATTAGCAAAGCGGAAACATCACTTCATGATTTTTGAAATGCCCGTCTTTGAGGCTGTCAGGACTGTTATTTTAAACATATTGATATCTTCCATTGCTATGAAACAGCTTAACAGTTGGAAACTGACAATTTATAGGAGGAATCGATTTCTTCTTTCAGCTCAACACTTGATGTCCTATTTATACACACTCTGTATGTAGTCTCATAATTATATCTTTCAATTCAGACAAAAATGACATAATTATGAACCCTACCTACATGTAACTGTGAAAAGAGAAACTAATTTGATTTGTATTGTAATCATTAGAAAAATGATTATATTTTTTATACGAATGCATGTACTACATGTAGTTCCGAAAACTGTTGATGTATTTAATCTTGTTAGGTAGACAGACAGTGTGATGGTCAATTTATTAAAATTTTATGTTAAACTTAAAAATAAAGCACTTCTCTTAATATTAAATAGAAGGGACTTTTTATTCAAAGCAGTGTTTGAAATTATATTTCAATAATACACAATGGTGTATATTTGGGTTTAAAGAGTTGATGCAACTAGAAACAGAAATAGTGCTCTCCAGTGGTTGCTTTCCAGTCTGGTCATAAAATGTACAAGGTTGAACCATCAAGAATGTAGGTCTGGTTTAGTGCTGTAAATTTGTTTGGCCTTATTCATTCACTTTATATACCAATACATATATTTACTAAGAATGGAAAGCAACACAAGACCTGAGTACCCATTTTTAATTACAAAAACAAGTTATTGTGTTGATTAATTTATTTAATTGATAGTCTATATAAAACAAGTCATTGAAAATGACATAGTCCCAGTTAAATTTTTGAAAGTTCTCTTTGTGCTTGTCATATTAAAGTGGGGGGGGGGGGGGGTGTCGCGAGCGTGTCTTTGAAACTTGAGTTCCAAGTTGCATTTATTTACATCATAACACATGTTCCCTGTAGTAGTAATATGGCCAAAAATATAAACAGCAGTTATTTGGCCATCTTTGATCTGATTATGAAACACACTGATATATACGATGTATGTGCCAATTACGAATGAAAATGATACATAAATTGTGGAAATATAGTAGTAAGGATTGCTGTCAATCGGTCATCCTTGACCAGATTTTGAAACAAATTGTCATGGACATGCATCCTAACATGTATAAAGTACATGTATTTGCCAAATTTGAATGAAAACTGACAGAGCACTTCCAAGATACCGCATAAAAAAACAAAAACAAGATGCCTGCCTGTCGACCATCTTTGATCCAATTGCGAAATAAATTGTCATGGACATGTAACCTAACATGTATAATATATGTACCAAGTTTGAATGACAACTGACAAAGCATGTCCAAAATACAACATTTTCAAAAAAACAAGATGGCTGCCAGTCGGCCATTTTGAATCGAAACGCTAAACCACTGCATGTGCATATGTCCTACATAAGGTACTAGACACATGCAAATAATGAACGGAATCGGTCCACAGGATTCTGAAATATGACTATTGACAGACGGACGGACGAATGGACAGACTCGGGAACTCACGGACGGTCAGGGACATGTATCCTAACATGTATGATCGATGTACTAAATTTGAATGAAAACTGACAAAGCATGTCCAAAATACGACATTTTCAAAAAACAAGATGGCTGCCAGTCTGCCATCTTTGATCCAATTGTGAAATAAATCATCATAGACTTGTATCCTAATATGTATAATCTATGTACCGAATTTGAATGAAAACTGACAGAGCATGTCCAAAATACAACATTTTCAAAAAACAAGATGGCTGCCAGTCAGCCATTTTGAATCCAATCGCTAAACCACAGCATGTGCATATGTCCCAGATAAAGTACTAGGCACATGCAAAGAATGAACGGAATCGGTCCAAGGGATTCTGAGATAGACTCCGGATGGACGCACGGACGGAGACCGAATTATAAGTCCCCATTTTCAGACTTCGTCCGAACAGGGACTAACAAATTCTCCAATATGCTAATTCTAATAAAATGTTACAGTAATATATTATGTTTGCAGTTTTTCTCTTTTTTATATATTTATATTTTATGTATACATGTACAAGTCTTAAAAAACACTTCACAGAGAAGTTAACTTTTAATAATGCTCCATTTCTGTTTATATTGTGCTTTTGTTTGGCGTTAAACACTTAGTACTAGATTGAAAAGCTAATGGTCTATGTATTCATACATATTTTTTTGGAACTCAACAGTACAAGCAAATATGTGTAGAGTTGGATTACTAATTTTTGAAAATTATAGACAAAAAATATTAGTAGTATGTTGACAGTGAGCTCCTGTTAATTTCAAGAACATGTTGTTGGAGTACATTGTGCTGGCTTTCAAAAGTAATTTGTCCTTCATTTAAATGCTAAAAACTATTTAGTCACAGTTTATTGAAACTGGGCAATTGAGCTTAATTATTCACATTATTTTGACGAGGTTCTTAGATTATACTATTGTGCAAGATATTTTTCCTGTTTAAATCAACTTTAGTTTTTGAGCTTCTCCTATCACAGTGCTATTACATGTATTAGTGTTGTTCATGTTACAAATCTTGGCATGAGTCGAGAGTCAGGACAGAGTCATGTGCTGGAATGTGTGTTTGACCAAGTCAGTAAGTGTTGAAATAAATTGACCCCTGTCCTAGTAGAAAGTCAGGGCTGCACATGCCAGGATTTGCTGCCTGGAAACTTGGCATGTACCAAAATCACGGCATACGTGGCGAACTCCATACTGATTCATACTGGATATACTTGTATGACATTCCCATGTAGGGAATCGCAGCAAGATTCATGTATATTTGGATGCTGTAGGACCGGTAATCAACAAAATGAATGCAGAATGCATATTTAGGTTTTGCTGCATCCAGTTTCTTTTTTGCAATGGTACATCAATGTACAAAAATAACGGTTCTTTGAAACCATTTTTGTTGTTAATGTGCATGATGACTCATAATATCATATTGCATGTAGCAAAGATATGATTTCAATACAGTTATTATTATCATATGTGTAACGTCTGCCAATACGGGGATAAACGGGGACTTATGTTTTGACGTCTGTGCGTGTGTTGGTTTGAACCTGTATCTTAGAAATGCCTGAACCAATCACAATCAAACTTCACACATACATCGTACGTGACATTATACATATGCACATCAATTTTGTACTGAAAAATCATCAAAATCAAGCATTTCTCGGCTGTTTACTGATGGATTTTGTTCAAACTTGGTATATACATTGGACATTATAGGATCTTGATGCAAATCGTTTTGTTTTTCAGATGAGATTCAAAATGGCTGAATGGCGGCCATTTTTTTAAATGAATGTGGTTCTAGTGCCATATCTCTAACTTGCTTTGATAATGTTCAAATTTTAAATATTCATTATACATGTACATTATCATATATTGGTTTGATGATTCTAAAATGGCTGAATTTTGACTACTTTTGTGCTAAAAAATCATCAAATATCAAGCATTTCTGTGATTTATTGATGGATTTTGTACAAACTTACAACATACATTAGACATTATGGGTTCCTGATGCAAGTCATTTTATTTTTCAGACCTGATTCAAAATGGCTGACTGGTGGCCATTTTGTTTTAATGAATGTGGTTCCAGTGCCATATTTCACATATTCCTTATACATCATGTTATAGATGTATACATGTATTCAAAATGGCTGATTTTGTTTTGATTAATGCTGTTCCAGAGCAATATCTCTCAATATGGACAAGTACTACTACTTGTTTGACGATCAGATACAAATGTCAATCATTTTAATGTTAAACAATCATCATAATCATATTCCTATATATTGTATTTATATATAATATATTTCAGCTATATTACTATAAACAAAACTATATATCTTAAATTTGATAACTAACGGGGACTGTGCCATGCATAGCTTGTATTTTATTGTTGTGCTTTGAGGATTATTTATCATGTGGATCAAAACAAAGTAAATATTATTTCTCCTGGCTGTAGGGATGTACTAAAGGTCCTCATAACAATGTGAAACCACCAAAGCCTGAAACTACAACTCCGGAAGCTAAAATGAAGAATAATGAGGTAAGGTTTGATGCATAGCTAATGAGGTAAGGTTTGATGCATATCTAATGAAGTAAGGTTTGATGCATATCTAATGAGGTAAGGTTTGATGCATATCTAATGAAGTAAGGTTTGATGCATAGCTAATGGGGTAAAGTTTGATGCATATCTAATGAGGTAAGGTTTGATGCATAGCTAATGAGGTAAGGTTTGATGCATAGCTAATGAGGTAAGGTTTGATGCATAGCTAATGAGGTAAAGTTTGATGCATATCCAATAAGGTATTATATAATGAAGTCATCACCTGATATCAGTCCTTGGTAGAGCTGGTTGATAATAGTCTTCTGATAAAAGGCTAATATTATCCACATTGTCACAGTGGTGAGTGGGTAATACAGCCATGACTGTAAACTGTTAAGTTTACTGTGTGTCATTCCATGATTTAAATTCTTTTACAAAGCTGTTTCATATCATTCTCTGCCATAATGCAACTGTCGTGTTTAGTATCATTCTCACTAGTGCACAATTAGAATTTCCCTCCCATAATGCAATTGTTATATGCTCAGAATATTCTAAATATTAATTTGCTTGTACCAAACAAATATTCATGTTTGTGTAACAGCTATTTTAGGTTTGTGTCAGAAATTTTCATAAAAAATCAAAATGGAATAAAAAAATTAAGTTTACCTCCATTTAAAAAACCCAAATGTAGTTGAATTACATGAATGTTGGTTTTGTTCTTCACAGGAAATAAAGGTTGTAGTTCAGAAACCACTGGAACCCATGCAAAGACCAATGTGAGTACATTGCATGTGGTGTGTGTTTAGATCCTTGTGTTCTTTCACCTATCATGCATGCAACGTAAAATAAACTGTATAGAGTGTGTATGTGGAATAGAGCCTTAACAGAGTGAAAAGTGGATATTATAATTGATGCACAATTACTCAAAATATTGTATAATTTTTAACACAATATGGTGATAGTGACTTTTATTGTATTTTTCATAACACATACCATGTACTTTATAATGACTTACATGTACATCGATTTTCATTACCATTCAATCAAGTATGGCTGACAAGTTGTCCTCCAAATATTGAAATTCTTCTCTTAAAATGAACAGGTTGGTTTCATTCAACCTTTGTGTCATGATCGTGCATATTACATGTTCACATTGATTTCCTTTTTGAGATTCAAACAAAAATGGTTGAGTGGCATCAATTTTGTTTTTATTTATATCCATTTTCAGTTCTTATTTGTTTGCAGTTTGAAAACAGGGACTTGTGTATTGACGTGTGTCTGTGTGTCAGCTTCTGGATCCATATCTCTGATATGTTTATGTTCCAACTATATCACTATAAACAAAACTATATACTGTGAAATACTTTATTTTTGCTGGAATTAATTTTCGCTGAAAAGACTTTTTAGGTGTTTTGTATGGAATTTATTTTCACTGATTTTTGACTAGTTTAAATTGAACCTAAATGCGGCCTTAATTTATGGTTGTGTATATTCTAAACTGTATTCGAAATAATATTGCAGTGGTTTAATTTTGTTTTAATTATAACTGTAGCTTGGATAGGCCGTTGAAGTGCTTGCAATTTAACACCATGGAGGCCATTCTTGGAGGGGAATAAATAATGAACAAACATACTTAACATCCCGGTACTTTCAAAGCTAGTATCTGATCACATTTGTATACGCCATTGTACATAGCCGTTCATGCTGCCAAGCATTGTGTACTACTAGTATAAACTCAACTTTTATATGCACAATGTGCTTTTTAGAACTTGGGTTAGAGCATTATGCGTTTGAACCACAGTATTCTGAGAGTGGAAGCCCAGTTGCGTTAAAGTACCGTACTTCCCCGATCACAAGCCCCTCCCGAGTATGAAGCCCATCCCTCTATTTTTACTAGGTATTTATCGAGTTGAGGGCATTCACGATTATAAGCCCAGATTTTTTTTACTGGGCGTCGACGATATTCTTTAAAATATGCATGTAAAAAGTGTGTTTCATTTCATGATAATCGTGATTGGCACGGTAGTTTAGTTTGTGCTTTTATGAGAAAACTCGCAATAATTTCAGAGTACATGGCAAACGTACACAATGTTCACATCCTTTCTATTCTGTCATTTACTCAGGATGAACCCCGATGTTGCGATACTGGAGTAATCCATATTTCTTTGGGTAGTAGCTTTCGAAAAGACAAAAATGTGATCGTTAAGTAGTTACCTGGTTTACTTTGAAACTATCATGAAAGGCCTAGGGTTTGAACGATGTGACATGTTGGCAACCGTGAAAGGTGTTTAAATTCTTACTCCACATTCAGTTTACCCACAGTTACTATTAACCGTCATTTATATTTCGGAAATTGCGGAAAAATCGTTTTTTTTTCGTTGCAATCAGTGCTACAGATCACATTTTAACATTGCGGTAATTCACTTCCGCATTGCGTTAAAAAATCTTCGTCAATAATCATTTTGATTGGTTAATGAAAGACAAAGGTCGAAGGAAGTTGTTTCAGGTCAAATTGTTACATGTTCATGCCTCCGGGCTGATGATCAGGGAAGTACGGTATACTGTGAAGATTCAGATCAGTCCAGTGTGAGTGATGAGAGTATATCGTCGATGATGCCCCTTGTTCGGTTGATAGTTTTATTTCACGAAAATGTTTCCACCACCACCCTACGAACTCAAGATTGCATACTCCAGCATCCAGACTTTGAAATAATTTGCACGCACAGTGCAGTACTGGAAATAGCATTTATGAAACAGTTGGACAAGAAAAATGCCTGTCTCAATCAATCGCACATCCATATATAATGTTTGTATGTTGATACGCTTGTAAATAACATTAACGTAAAAGTCAAAACAACCTAGACTAGAAGTCAATTCACCAGTCCTGCCAACTATGGCTCCCTAAGTTGTTTATATTTAATCAGATACTATTTCGTTGTCATGCTTTGTTACCTTTCCTGTTTATACCTCATGAAGGCGTTTTTTTTATGGCAAGATGGCGCAAATGGAAGTCCTTCGCAGGTTTATGGTTTCTCATATTTAAATCATCACAACTATGAAGATAATCAATTTTTTTAATTTTTTTTTTCAAATTTATAATCAATATACATAACTTGATAAATACAAACACCAAATTAGGCTCTATTTAGTTCCCCTTTAATGTAAAACATAGGAAAAAATGTATATTCGCTGGATTTTATTTGAATCATTCCTTCAGCGAAAATAGCGAAAATTATTTCCAAGCGAAAATAAAGTATTTTACAGTAGTTTGATAACTAACAGGGACTGTCAATATATTGCCTGATTCAGTTGAATGTTTGCATACCAGTTAATACCACTTTATTAGCCTCCGCTGTTGACTTTGTCGAGCGCAGCTTATCATATGAGTGATTGTCCGTCGTCGTCCATGTCAATGTTTTACTTTTTCGACTTCTTCTTGAAAACTACAAGCCTGAATGCTTTGATCTTGGTGTATATGTACCTTGGGTAGACCTCTCTCAGATTTGTTCATGATATCTTCAATTCTCTAATATTGGTGAATACTTTTGTCATTTTTGGTAAAGAGTGATATTTTCAACTTCTTGTTAAAAACCGCAAGTCCAATTGCTTTGATACTACATATATAGGTACTACATGTGGACCTCTCTCAGATTTGTTCATTTCATAATGATATCTTCAATTCTCTAATTTTGGTGAATATTTTTGTAATTTTTGGTAAAAAGTGATATTTTCGACTTCTTGTTGAAAACCGCAAGTTCAATTGCTTTGATATATTATACATATAGGTACTACATGTGGACCTCTCAGATTTGTTCATTTTCTAATGATATCTTCTGTTCTTTAATTGCCATGTGCATTTCTAACAGCGGAGCTATCTCAGGCTGCTTCTTTTCAAAATGATATCAATGATACATTCCGAAATAATGGTTGTTATAACCAATATGCAGGGTGAAACTTTGATAAACCTATGTAAAACTTTGACAGACCTATGTAAAACTTGTGATGTTAGAATTCTGAATGGCAGAATACCAGGTGATTGTAGTGGTAACTTCACATGTTATCATTATGGTAGATTATGCAATAGCTGGATCTAAACTCATTGAGAAATTTCTTTACTTTAAAGTACATGTGTACATAATTTTACTGCCTTCTTAGTCCTGATATAACCATCATTGCAGTTCACCAGCAGAATTTTACAAATCCTGTTGGACACTGTTCATCATTATGAAACCGTATTTGTTATTTAGCAATGTTCATTGTTCTTTTTAGTCCCCTTCCATGTGTTCATGTGTCCGTTCGTTTGTGTGTGCGAGTGTCCGTGCGTATGTACCTGTATCTTAGAAATGCCTGGACCAATCACAATCAATCTTCACACATACATCATACATGATATTATACATATGCACGTTAATTTGTTTCATGATCTGATTCAAGATGCCGAATGGCGGCAATTTTTTGTGCTAAAAATCAACAAAATCAAGCATTTTTCGGCTGTTTACGGATGGATTTTGTTCAAACTTGGTGTATACATTAGACATTATGGGACCTTGATGCAAATAATTTTGTTTTTCAGATTAGATTCAAAATTGGTATATACGTTAGACATTATAGGATCTTGATGCACACAATTTTGTTTTACAATCTGATTCAAGATGGCTGAATGGCGGCCATTTTTGGGCTAAAAAAATCATAAAAATCAAGCATATCTCGGCTGTTTACAGATGGATTTTGTTCAAACTTGGTGTATACATTAGACATTATAGGACCTTGATGCAAATAATGTTGTTTTTCAGATTAGATTCAAAATGGCCGACTGGTGGCCATTTTGTTTTAATGAATGGGCTTCTAGAGCCATATCTCCGACTTGCTTCCACTGATATTGTTCAAATTTTAAATATTTATACATCATGTCATAGACAGATATATTGGTTTGACGATCCTATTAAAAATGGTCGAATGGTGGTCATTTTTGTGCTAAAAATCCTCAAATATCAAGCATTTCTTGAATTAATGGTTGGATTTTGTTCAAACGTATAACAATCATTAGACATTACAGATTCCTGATGCACGTCATTTTATTTTTCAACTTGGATTCAAAATAGCTGACTGGTGGCCATTTTGTTTTAATGATTGGGCTTGAGAGACTCCTAAATGCTTTGACTGATTATATTCAAATTTTATATATTTGTTATACATCATGTTATATATATGTTTACATGTATTCAAAATGGCTGATTTTGAATGCTGTTCCAGAGCAATATCTCTCAATATGGACAAGTACTTGTTTGATGATCAGATACAAATGTCGATCATTTTAATGTTAAAAAAAATCATATTCCTGACATGGTTATATTCCAGCTATATTACTATAAACAAAACTATATATCTTAAATTTGATAACTAACGGGGACTGTGCCATGCATGGCTTTATTTTTCATACAATCAATAAAACCTCAGTAATGAGACATGTCATGCTCACAAGAGTGGTTGACACAAATCACATATGTGTGTAGTATACTGTTCCATCATCACAAAGAAATATACAAATGTTACAGTACTCAACATAATATTCAAGCATTTATATGTTTATGCTAATTCCAACTTCTTCAGTACTTTGCTCTCTGAGGTTTTGCTAACATCAGTATCTATGCAACACTCTGAACAAGAAAATGTGTCAACAACTTGCTCAGTACTTTGCTCTCAGGTTTTGCTAACATCAGTATCTATGCAACACCCTGAACCAGAAAATGTGTCAACAACTTGCTCAGTACTTTGCTCTCCGAGGTTTTGCTAACATCAGTATCTATGCAACACCCTGAACCTGAAAATGTGTCAATTACTTGCTCAGTCTAGTTATATCCTTGATTTTTTCCAGTTTTTTAATATTAGTGCTCAGAAAAAAAAAAATTGAGCATTCTTTGTAGTGTCATAGTCATAACCATGGCTCTAATTCAGTAAATCCATCTAATTTTGTTCAGATTTGTTCATTTTGTTATCATGATATCTTCAATATTCTCATTTTGATGATTTTTTTTTCATTTTTGGTAAAAAGTAATATTCTTAACTTCTTGTTAAAAAAACACATGTCTGATTGATATTATACATACAGGTGGACCTCTCTCAGATTTGTTCATTTTGTGATGATACATGTATCTTTAATTCTTTAATAGAAATGTGCATTGCTTACAGCAGAGCTATCTCAGCCGAGAGGCTGCTTGTTGTAACTTGCTCCAATTCAACAAATCTATCATTGTGAGACACAAGTATATTACAAGTGGTAGACTAACATTTTGTTTTTTCTCAGCAAGTAATGATAATGTCTATGTATATTTTTTAGTGTAGATGAACCTAGGAAAAAATTACCAATGACTGTATCCCAATCTTTGAAAGTTGCTTTGGAGCGGGAAAAAGCACAATCAAATGAGATAGAACAAGGTAAGTGGAACTGATTTATATTGTACTTAGTATATTTGAAAAACAAATGGCCCCTACCCACCAACCTGAATTTAATCATGAGGAATAAAAACACAATTTGAAATACATGTTT